ATTAACAATTTTAAATTCCACAATAAAGACAAAATTATTTATATAATTAAAAATTATATTGACCAATAATAATTTGACACGTAACTTATACTACTTATTTTTAAAAGTACAGTGTCAATCATGCATTAAATACTCATTTCTCCCTATAAATGGGTAAATACATTTAAAATGTCAAGAATATTATAAAATGTAGAGAACTCTTTCGTTCTAAACAAATGAAGTGTCGGTGTCAAAATAAATATGGTCCAAATGTTGATAACAGCTTTTAAAATGACGAGAACGTCATGAAATGTCAAGAAGAACAACTATTAAATACAACTTATAAAAAAAAAAAAAGATTTCAAAAAAAAGTTACCTTCTATCAATAATTGTGGAAAGCCTAATCAACTACAAATTTGGATGAAATTAAATTTTTCGAAATGAAANCAAGAATAACAACTATTAAACATAATTTATGAACAAAAACAAAATTTCAAAAAAAAAAAATTACCTTCTACCGAGAATTGTGGAAAGCCTAATCACTGCAAATTTGGATGAAATTAAATTTTTCGAAATGAAATTATATGATTTTCTTATAAATTGGAAGCATATAATTATTTTTTAGTATTAATGACTTTTCTACTTCATCTTCTTCATTTTTTTCCAAAATTTTGGTCAATACCTATGAATAATAAAGGCAAATGAATTCATTAGATGTTAACTAGCATAAATGTAGCTTCTCATGGAAACTACTTGTTCTTCTCGAAATTCGTGATAAATTGAAAAAAAAAAAATTTGTTTCATTTTTCAGCTAAGGTATAATAGACAATTTGGTATCAAATTTGATCATTTTTACACGAGTTATCATAATTAGACAATTTTTAATTGACAAGCATGAAATTGATCATTTTTGTAAATTCCCAAAAAAAAAAAAAAATAACCCGAGCCTAGACTAGAAATTGGTCGGCTAGAAAGCCCGGGTCCAGACCATTACCAACCATAATTGATACATATTCATATTCACCTTTCATGCAGTTGAACTTAGGGGTGTAAGCGGTCCGATTTTTACGATTTTTGACAAATTTTCAAACCAAACCGTTTTGACCGGTTTGAGAAAAGCTCAAACCTAAATCAAGCCGTTTTGACCGGTTTGAAAAACACTCAAACCTAAACCTAACGGTTTGGTCCGGTTTTAAACCGCCGGTTTCGAGTATATTTTTTT